TAGTAAATATGGTTAATTAATTTTAATTAATATTAAGTTAATTATTTAATTAAATTAATTATCTTGATTAATTAATTTTAATTTTCAATTAACCTTAATTTTGGTCAAAGTCAAAGTTATTTTTTATTTTATCTCAATATTACCCAAAAGTTTTTATGATTAAGCAATTTAGTCCCAAGGTTTCAAATCATTTTAAATCAATCTTCCATGTTTTTCAAATTTAGTCAAATTAATCTTTCATGTTTTTGAATTTAATCAAACTAGACCCTTTTAATTTTTACTTGTGTTCATTGTGCATGTATGTCTTTGATTTTGTTCATTTTAGTCTAAAAATTTAAAAATGTTTCAATTTGGTTTATCTCTTTTTTCGAAGTTTGCTTATTAAGACTCAAACATAAACATGATGAATAAATTGATTCAAAAGCCCCAATGTTAAAGTATGCAACCGTGTTTAAACGGAGGATTGTGAGGTGCGCATATGCCCTTCCTCACTCCTAACCGAACCCCCGAACCCGATTTCTGCGCAGACCCATTTTAGGTGACTTGTCCCACCTTATAATCTGGACGAGTGGCGACTCCCTTTTCTTATATTTTTACACATAATTTTGTTTTTATTTTGAAAAAATCTTAAGTAGTCATCAACAAATTGGTGACTCCACTTGGGACAAAACCTAGAATTTCTGGTTTCCATATTCTGGGTTCATGAGAGTTAAGCTAATATTTTAACTTTGGGGAATTTTCAACCTTTGATTTTTTCTGTGTTTGTTGAGTCTTTGTGGGTCTTTGTTATTTATTGTATGTGTTTGTTGTGTGTTGCTTGTTGTTTGTTTGCTCATTGTTTTAGTGGTTGCTTTGATCTTTTGTCTTTGAGTAGTTACCTTGCTTACATGTTCATGCATGATATCATTTAACATGCTCATCCATCATTGATATAACATGCTTATTCATCATGCATCATGCATCATGCATCATGCATCATGCTTACTGTAATATCCCAAAATTTTGAGGTATTTTAGCATTAAAGTGGGGATTTATTTGAGGAAAAATATTGTTTTGAGGTTTAATCACAAAATTTTCAAAAGTCGAGGGACTAAAAAGAAAGCAAATTAGGATAAGGATGAATTGCTTTTTCTTGTCCTTTTTTTCTTTCTTTTTCTTCTTTCTTTCCTTCCTCATCAGACCCGCGTGCCCTGCGCTTCTTCTCCCCCGACCCTCTGCACTCGACGAGCCCACCCCGTCACCGCCACCCATTTCCGGCCGGAAATC